AGTAGTAGTAGTAGTAGTAGTAGGAGTAGCAGTAGCAGAATGCCATTAAGGATGAAACTGTCGAAGTCAAGCAAGCAGGCGGCCGCCTAGTTGGTGGCGTAGACGTTTCGGGTTGACCAAGATTGCAATTGCTGCTGTGGCATGACGGTTGCCAAGCGGATTGACCAAATCGGGAGCCATGGCACTGAAGACACGGCAACCATGCTTTGGGCACACAGCCTGCAAAATCATTGAACTTGACTGCACTCAGTCATGCGAATTTCTTCCAATATAGCAACATCTAACTTACAGACTTACAGGTAAAGGCGATGATCCTTACAAACTTGTTTTCCAGGCAGTGAAGTTGTTAGGGTCACAGACCCCTCGTCGGGAGATTTTTGCAAACCGGCAGGGAACATCTCTGACCATAATGCCATAAGTTTCCATATCAAGAATGGTGCAAGATTAGCGCCTTTCTGCGACTATGTGAATAGCCGGAAACTGCCAGAAACTTTCTAAGCCCACTGAGGTGCCCCAAGCTCTTTGGCGCAACGCCTCAGAAGACACCGGAGATGCCAACTCCGACTGGAAACCTTCTTGCTCCTCGGCAGAAAACATGCATCATGCATGTGACTGTCCTTCGTACTTTGGGATATACTTCTTGCGCAAAAGGTGCAAGCGCACCGTTCGCGCCAAACAGCAAATTCCATTTCGGGAGTGTGGCCTCCGTAAACTTACTTTGGAAGTCAAGAGGCAATGGTTAGCGGGCCGGGTCGAGGAGGCCGACTGGCTGCTCCGCGAACAATTGGTTTCCTTTGACGACCAGGTTCGAAGGATATATATGGAAAGTTTTGCGCGTGGTATCAGCAGAGCTAATGGTGTCTCTTGCATGGCCCTTTTTCACAACAAGCCTAGCTTTTGTTACTTTGAGAGATGCGCCCAACAGAAGCGCAAATGTGTGCAGAGTTGGAAAGATGTAACGCAGGGTCTTGTTGTGAGACTTGGGCTCAGTGGAGGAATAGGACGCATGGCCCATGGCCACATCTGGCGGAATCGATGTGGGTTATTGAAGATATGATGGCTGTCCTGGAAGTTATGCAAACATCGTGTCGGACCCAAAGGTAATGCAGCGCGGATTCAGAAAGCAGGGCGGTTCAGGGGATGATCGGTGATGCCTACGACAGCCTCTGGTACGGTGCATTTGGCGCAAGATCTCCGTACCTTATTCGGGTAGCTTGCAGGCATGTGGATGTGCACGTTTGTGTCTGTGCTGTTTCAACCTGATATCTGATACCATCATCGCCATCATCACCATCACCGCCATCACCGCCAGCACCACTACCACCATCACCACCATCACGACCACCATCACCACCACCGCCGCCGCCACCACCACCACCACCGCCACCACCATCACTCCATCACCAACCACCATCACCATCACCGCCATCGCCACCACCATCACCACCACCATCCCCACCACCATCCCCACCACCATCATCATCATCATCATCATCACTATCATCGCCACCGTCAGCCCTCTCTGGAGCCCAGTGCATCTAGATCTTTAGACCTATTCTGCTTCTACGCCTCTGTGAAACATGATCCAGCGATGCCCACCCCCAAGTTGCTTTGGCGGTCTCGCGGGAGAAATGTTTTCCGGAGATCGTGAAGTTTCGAGGTGTTTTGGCCCACGACTACTTTGTGGAGGTCCGCAAATAGAGAGCAGTTCGATTTCGCAAGTATGTTCTGTAAGGTTTCCGGGTAAAACGGTCCCACATCCCACTTTCACGGCCACAGCGGACCTCGGAGGGAGCGCCCGCTTGAAGGAAGGGCAGCTGAACTTCGCAAGCCACCGCGCCAGGTGAGCTCAGGGCTGGGCCTTTGCTCCCTCTGGGCTGCCAAGGCAGGTGGCGCCGTTCTGAACCTTCTGAAAGAAGAACACGTTCCGCTCCAGTCAGGATCTGAGGATTCAATTGTCCCCACCGGTGTGGGGATGTGTTCAAAGGTCAAATAGTTCGGGTCTTGTGGTGAGAACAGAGTCGGCAAGCGTGGTCAGCCCATTTGCGGAATATGGGGCCTCTGTTGGTGGAAACCGCGGTCGTCCACCCGGGACCTGACATCTTGGACGAATTTGCGAAGAACTGGCCAGCGCATGGCTGAGGCTAGATTTTGTATTCAGTGTGCGTGTGTGTGTGTGTAGCCCTGAGAGTCACAACAATGCTGGTGGATTTGTTTCTTTTTTCTTTCTCAGCAAAAGGCACAGGCCCATTGTGGATACCTGTGCCAACGAAGCTGTTCCACGATTCCACGATGGGGGAAGCGGAGACTGATCACCTCCGTGTACCTGCTGAAGTTTGCGGCGTTGAGTAATCGCGTCCCACTCTAGACCTGAGGTGAGGTTTCAGAGGTCGGCAGATGTGCGTTAAAGGGCTAGTGCGTTCGTTGTCGTTTTCAGGTTCGTTTGAGCACTTTATGAGCTTGGAGACTTGGCCCTCCTAATGACTGGCGATTTTCGGGCCTCTTTCACTGTTTTTTCAAGACTTGCTTTCGGGTCAGTTTGCATTAGCGTTTCTATAATTGTGTCTGACCTTCGTGTCAGCCCAGGGTGACCCCGACAAGTGGCCGCTGTGGACCCGTTGAACGGGGGTTTGCCGAACGTATCCCCTGCCTGGATACAGAGCAGCTCGCAGAGAGCGTAGGTGGCTTACGCCAAAGTCATTTGTCAAGACCTGACGAAGTATTGAATTCCAAGTAGGCCGCTTTTGAGCATGCCAGAACGTGTCCGCAGCGGACGAAAGTAGGCAGCCTTCGGGCACGCCACCACGTGGTTGCAGCGACGAAAGTTTGTTCAAGGCTCATTGGAGCCGTCGTAAGCTCAGGTGCGCATACAGCATGTACATTTTAACAAGGCAGGTCTTCCTAGGTCGCCTTCACACACTTCTTTTTCTCCTCCTTTCTTTCGTGTCTTTCCTTGCTGTCCTGTCATCTCATTCCTTTGTTTCTCTTGCGCGCGCATCGGTCCCGGCCTTTGTCTGTACGTGCACATCTACTGTACATGTAGGTTTCAGGTCGCCCAGGTTTTGATAATGAGGTTGGCTCACCTTTTGTCCCTCTGCGTCTGGTTCCGTTTTCATTGCAACCGCACACGCACTTTTGTCCCGTCTGTCTTCTCTTTCAGATTCATGCCTTCGTCCTCTTGTCCATGCTGCGCGCGCAATGCACACTTGTTCGTCACTTAGTTTTTGCCTCCCCTCAGGGAGGCGTGTGTGTGTAACCCTTGGAGTCACAGGGGTCCTGGTGGATTTGTTTCTGTTTTCTTTTTCAGCAAAAGGCACAGGCCCATTGTGGATACCTGTGCCAACGAAGCTGTTCCACGATGGGGGAAGCGGAGACTGATCACCTCCGTGTACCTGCTGAATTGTGGCGTTGAGTAATCACCTCCCACTCTACAGCTCAGGCTGGTGAGGTCTCAGCGGTCGGCAGATGTGCATTAAAGGGCTAATGCATTCGTTGTCGTTTTCACGTTCGTTTGAGCACTTTATGAGCTTGGAGACTTGGCCTCCTAATGATTAGCGATGTTCGGGCCTCTTTCACTGTTTTTTTCAGGACTTGGTTAGCTAGGTCGCTGTGTGGCGAGCGGCATTCGAGTCAGTACGCATTTCTATAAGTGTGTGGGTGGGTCACCCTTCGTCTCTAAGAGTTTGTTTATCACAGGGGGACGGGTCACCACCGATACTGCCCGTCCAACGAAGAGGGTACCGGTTGGTGCTGAAGCAGTGGAGGACGCTCCACTGTGTACCTGCATCGAACCCAATGACTCCACTGGTTTCCCTTGCCGCTGTTGGTTTGCTTCCATGGTGGTTCTCGCATGATATCCCCCAAAACAGGTTTCCTTGCACGGCGTTAATTCAGTCTGCTAAGTAATCAGTAACTTGTTTTCTGCAGTCACGCGTCAACCTTTGTTCAAACACCTTCAAGGACTCTGACTTTTTGCCTTTCGGTTCACTCTTTCCTTTCCTAGGCTTGCTAAGTATTCAGTAACCAGTGTTCTGCAGTCACGCGTTAACTTTTGTTCTAAAACCTTCAAATGCTCTGACTCAGCCGCCTTTCCGTTATGCCATTCCTTTCACTGGGGATTATGGTTAACTGAAAGCCCGATGACTAAGTGTGTCATCAACTCGACCCGACTTACGTTCACAACAAAGGTGTGAGTTGAGATGCAGTTTGGCAATTTTTCGGCAATTTTTCATATTTTCGAGACTCACCATACTTTGGAACACCTTCCAACTTTGGCACCTTCGTCCCCCCACACATCCATGCCGTGACGACGCCATGGTCAACCGTGGAGAATTCGTCCCGCAGGCGGGCGCGCGGAAGGTCATCGCGTTGGAAACCCACGAGGAACTGGTGGAGCTGAGCCGACGAGCGGCAGAGCTCAACGGCTACAGCGAGGTGGGGAGGGGGAACCATGATCGATGGAATGGATGGGAGTTGGGGAGGGTTGGAAAGTTCAGTAAAGACTTGAAACACTTGCTTTAGGAACACTTTGGTGGGTGCCTCCTACCCGTCACTTTTGTGAGTCGCAAGTAAGACTCTGACTCGGAAGGTTCAAGAAACTGCACGGTCATTTCAACCATGCAGGCACGGTTTCCAAATCTCAAGCTCGCGCAAACACTTTTGGGACGGTCATTCCAACAGCCGTTTGCGGATCGCGATGTCCATTTGGGATCGGCTGAGAGATGCCGGTGATTCACCGCAGGATCCGTCGGATTCACCCGCAGGTCAGTCCCAACCATGGAAACCATATCCTTTGTGTGTACCGAAAAACCTGTTTCAGGTGATTGACGTGGTTTGTGGAAAGCCGAGGCTGGAGGGCGCCGCGATTTGGAGAGTGCTTGGGAGCAGGAGCAAAGCCGAATCTTTTTTGATATAAATCACAACCTCAGTGGTCGCCACATATTTTTTGGAAAGGATTTTCAAGACTGTTTAGAGGGGGTCCTTCACTTTTCTGTTTAAGGTCATTGGGTTCACTCTTTTCGATCGGAACGGTAAACTAGCGATCTTTTGACCCAGATGCAGAAAAACATCTGAGATGAACATGCTTGAGAATGCTATAAGACAAGAGTGTGCTGGATGCAACATCAAACCCACCAAATCAATGGGATGCTCAAAGTTCCTCAGATGTCGATTGATCCCTTTCACCTGTTCCGTGACGCCCTGGAACCGCTTTTTCGACTCCGCCGTGCGACTCTGGGCTCCCAGCTGTTTCGGTCTTCGTTGAGACCAAAGATGTTGGCCATCGTCCCCGCGGGCCGCTCCTCGCGCGGTTTCGGCGTGCGATGCCGTCCAGCTCGAGCGAATCTAGCTCGAGTTCCAGTTCAGCCAAGCAGAAGCGAAAGCAACGGGATGATGATATCAACGTGGCTCGGCGAGGAGTGCCGTTGTGAATCTTGGTTTCGGTGATATTAGGAAGACCTCGACAAGAACTTTTCTAGAGCGATGTGGTCATTCATTCGTCCCTTAAGACCGTCGAGGGTGACGTACAGTAGGCAATCTCTGCTTAAGCGCCATTCTTGAAGTCAGCCTAGGGAGGGCCCACATCATGCATTGCATCAAGGATGGTGACCCAGACCCGACAATTGGGCGATGCCAGTTTGCCGGCAGGTTTCTGTGCCGAAGCCAAGGATCCAAGAACACCTACAAAAATCATGAAATGAAGAGGTGTAAGACATGATCATTCCAACAAATCCGCAGGATTTCATGATTCATCGAAGGAGGGGGGGCTGCTGGCAAGCAAGCAGCTCACTGTTTCTGAGGCGAAGATTGCTGCGAGGCAGGGGCCTATGCCTTTTTGTGCGTTTCAAAGGCATCAAATTGAGTGTGAAATCCAAGGAGATTCGTCACGACGTTCCGGGGTATAAAATGGCGATCATATATGTTTGCTTAATTGAACTTCCATGAAGCTACCGCCAGTGGTGCCGAAGCAAAAGCTGCCCCTCTTCCTGCTAGGGGCAGTTTAGTGCCTCCTCTCCTTCTTGGGGGAGTGTCTGATGCAGTGGACTCTCGACAGGATGGCGAAGAGAGAACAAGAAGAAAATGCGTGGCAGGGATGGATCTGCCCCTGTGGTGGAAAGAACTTCGTCATGAAAGGACCGCCCTTTGTTTCGTGCTGGTCAGTCGGCTACCCTACCCTCACGGGCGCACATTCCTGCGTTCAGTGCAAACTTTCAGTGCAAACACATGGAAACTGTTGTTCCTAGTAGCTTCTTGTTCCTAATTGTAGGGCCAGGAGCCCCTAGTAGCGTCCACTGTTCCTAGTAGAGAAGAAGAGAGGTGTCTGCAGGCTATCCAAATTCGTCTCCGAATCACATCCTTGACTGAGAGCGCACTCAACGGGCAAAAACACGTGGCTCTTCTCGTGGTGGGTCAGGTTACCGCATCCCATACCCGCTCAGTACAGGACATCTCGGTCAAGACCGGAACATATCTGTGCCAACATGTAGTGGGAAGATGTGGGAAGTGGTGTGATGAAAATGTGAAAACTCCATATGACTCACATCTGAAGGCTGTTCACTTTCCATCAGGGGTGGGGTGGACCACCTTGATGTTTCCATCGTCGAAGACCAGCTGGAAAAGAAAACAAACTCCACACTGGCTTTCACTGATCGATCCGGACTTTGGCCCCAAAGGACGCACGGCATCTAGGATCTTCCCTTCATCACCTTCACCCTGCACCGCCTGGACCCCCCCAGCCATTTGCCACCAAACACCCCGAAACAGCGCTGCTCACGTAGTTTCACTGCGTCACCACACCTTGGACTGAAAACAACACCGCCCAAGCTGACCTCGCGTGTCCTGCAGCGGGCTTCTGGGCTTCCTGCTTGTGGGGGGTGTGAGGACGCTGCTACGCGTGCAATGCGCTGAAGCCCTTGAGCGGTGCCCAGAAGGGCCTCGCTGCCGCGGAGAAGATTGCCGCGTCCATCGCACGTCGGGGGTGCCCGGATGGGTCTAGCGCGGAGGAGGGGCCACATGTCGGGGGTGGCGATGGGTAGGTAACGGTGCGCGGAAAGCGATGTTGGGGTAGAAGTGGGGTGTTTGAGAGTGCTTGGATTGATGTATAAAGTCGGGAATCATAAACCTCCCCTACTTATTTCGAGCCACAACACCATCGAACATTCAGCAACGTTGAAAGTCTTATTGGTGGCTAATTTCCTCCATGAATAAGCTTGTGGGTGTCAGACCCCCGAGTTGATCTGAGCCCCACAACAAAGTCAATTTCTGAGTTCCATTTGATTAGGAGAGGCTTTGTAATCACGATGCCATCCCCATACTGTTGCTAATCTCTTTTTCAACTCATCCATGAGGTCTTTGCTGATGGTTTTGCCTTTAAATTCCTTCCTAGCAGATTGTTACGGGGAGTGGACCCCATGAATGGTACCTCAGACCTTGTTAACCTTGTTGACCTTCTAAGACCTTGTTAACCTTGTTGACCTTGTAGAAGGGGGAGTATTAATCCGGAGTTTGCATTACCCATCTTCACTAGGTTGTTGAATCCCTGAAAGACAGATGTGATTACCCACACAATCTGACAAGCTATTTAGTTGACGCCTGTTTTGACAGGAATGGGCAGTATATATAACTATTGGATTGTTGGTATTGGTATTCCAGGCTTCACTCAGGTAGTCGTGCTCCTGGGTTCCAGTCGCCTTTTTTAGGGAGAAGCCCAGCAAATGGGTCAAGTGGGAAGGGCATTTGTTCCATAGTCCGAGGGCTGCTCAACATCGAACTGCCCTTGTGGGACGTGGGAATTAAGGTAGACTTTGGACATTTCATCCATTTTACACTCTATGGATCTTGCGCTAAGCTAGTGTTGTTCTGGTGGTCTTCCTTCTTCAACTCTAGTGATGCTCACATTAAGTGGCTGTTTTTCTTTGGGGTAGGTGTTTTAAATGCACATGTTCTGTTTTTTTATGCGGATATATGGGCAGGTGTGGTCTGGGAGCAAGTTTTTTTTCTTTTTTAGTAACAGTCAGTAACAGTGTATTTATTTTTTTGCCTAAGCCAACATCCTTTTTAATGCAGGTGGTTTCTTTTTTATGCACAGGGTTTCTTTTCTTATGCAGACGGATTTCTTTTTTCTGCTGAGAGGTTTCGGCACGCCACCCGGTGGCAGTGGTAGCATACCTTTTGCAAGCTGAGCCCGTCCAGCGTAGCATACCTTTTGTGACCCATTTGGTAAAATTTAGGGGAGCAAGGAGCAATTCCAACATAGCATACTTTTTGTGGTTGTGAGCCACCCAGGAGTGAAGTTTAGAGAAGAAGGCATGCAAACATAGAATACTTTTGTGAGCTACCCCGGGATATAAAATTTAGAGGAAGAAGGAACCATGGAAACGTAGCATACCTAATTTTGCGAACCATCCGAGGGCAAAATTTAGAGGAGGAAGGGACCTTGCCACAACGTAGCTAGTTTTGTGACCCCCCCAAGGCAAACAGTCCCCCGCAAAAGTAAGACACTGTCCACATAAAGAAATAATCTCCCAGCATAAAAACTTCAGAACCGTAACCGTCAGCATCAAACACAAAAAAATAACACAGCGTCTGCATAAAAAAGGAGCCCTCCAGCCTTCAGCATAAGAACAAGATGAACAAGAATGAACAAGAACCGTCAGCATAAAGAAAATCCAGGCTCTTCTCTTTTTGCGCTTCAAAAAGGAGTGAGTTGAGCTGCGGGGAGAGCCAGGTGCCTAAAGCCCCTGTAGCTTCGACTCATCGAACCACTTCTATATAGTCTCGTCATGCTCGCAGAACTGCCACCGCTGCCGTGCATTCCATCAACTGCTTTCTTAATACATTGTGAATCTCTGGGTCTCTAAGCATCCTCACCCACTGCAGCGTTCAGAACAACCTCCGCCAGCTGAGGCGCACATCTCCCGGAACCTAAGCCCCAGCCACCCAGCTCGTGCAGAGCCCAGCGGAACGTTCGAGGGTGGTGTGTTGGTTGGGGATGCTTGCACCTGCCCTTGGGGCGGGTTGTGAAGCACCGGGCCACCACTTGATGGAGGATGGCGGATAGGAGTGTCCGAACATCCACTCACTGGACCGGTCTCAAAAGCAACTCCATGGAACTGCAGGCAGTTCTTGTCCTGCCATTTTCAGAAGACTTTCTTTGAAGGCTCGGCGCTCGAATTCCTGATTTTCGCCCTGCTCTCCCAGGTCGAGCTCCAGCTCCTCGTCCCGCTACGAGCGGAGAAGCCGTAGTCGAAGAAGCCGCAGTCGAAGCCGCAGTGGAAGCAGGCCACGTGGGAGGTTTTTGCGGCATGGAAGGCGTGGAAGGCGGTCGCATCCTGTGGGTCAACGGCGCACGATTTGTGGTAGCGAGGGTCAAGTATGTGCCTCTTATGATAGACAAAGTCCAGTCCATTATGTCATGTACATCATGGATTTCAGGATTTCCGTTTGCAGGGATAATCGTCTTCCCCGAGATACGAACGGATTTACTTGGCTTCAACCTAGCGACCTAGCAGCAATGGAATTCACAGATCGAACCTGGTCATTGGTTTCTTCTGCTACAGGTTTTTGGTGTCATGAATCTTCCAGGTCGGTGAATCTTTCTACTAATCACTCCCGTGCATGAGGGATTCCAACGAATGAACACCTGACTGCGCTCACCCTTGATTCTCGTTCGCCTTCCAGGAACGGCCATGTAAAGAACGCGAACAGACCTTGTTTTGGTTGTGTAAACTCGTAAGTAAAAACAATGTTTGCTTTTTGGGGATTCAAGCCTATTCAGCCTCTGACATTTCATGGGCCATGGGTTTTGGTTTTGCAAACCCTTAACTCAATTAAAAGGCCACGACCTTTCATGGGCCATGAACATGTAAATGGCTCGGATCGCTCAGGGAGGCGCCAGCGCTGTCGGAGACGGAGGAGATCATGGAAGCGAAGAACCAGGCGGTGAAACGCCTGGAGGAGATCAAGGTCAGGAGAAGTCGATTAAAAACGGATTGGTTTAAGGGACCATCTGACTGACAATCTACAAATACTATATAGAGGTTTCCGGTCAATTTTCCCTTAAACCAATTCTGGATCGAAGTGCATGGAAGTTCGTTGGTTCGTTTTCCTTGAGAGAGAGAGAGGGACGAAGTAGTCCCAAAAAGATCGAAGGATGTCGGTCAGGAGAGATGAAGGAGTTCCTTTTCCCTTATTCCCAGTCAAAAGGTTGGTGGCAACCAATTGCCATCCAGAAGTTTTGGTGTTACGGAGCTTCGCACCAAACCGCGAGTCGCGAGCTTTGGGCTGTTTCAGCTGTCGGCTCGGATGGTGCAGTTGTTTCTGTCATGAGGGAAGCCACAGTCATGAGTTTCAGTCTGACTGGATCCAGCCATTCTCGTTCCTCACAAGTCGCACCTTTTTCGTCAACGGTTTTGGCCTTTTTTGGAAGCCAAACATCGAAAGAGTGGTGGCCTTTCGCTGGTTTTGTTTTTGACCCTTGAGACAAATTAAAGCAAATGAACAGGGTATCGGTATTGGTTATATTTTGGTTTTCGGATCTTTTTGATTTTCGCACAATCCAAATGCATTGGGTGTTGCGCAGTTTTGAACGATGTTGAACTGTTTGCATTTTCCTGCTAACAGTTACACTGGAATTCACACATGTTTGAGCTACCCAGCCGCGCAAAAGGCAAAACCATCCTAAAAGGTCAAACATTTGTACTGTTTGAACTGGCCCTTGGACCACTTCGTTTTCGTTTTTTGGCCAGATTGGGGATTGATACTTTGCCTGTGTTACAGCGTTGACGGATTGAAATGCTTCGGACTGGCTATGCAACGGCCGTTCTGCAACAGGGCCCCACCCCCGCCGAGCCATGGGGGGTGTTTACCGGCTGACAAAAAGGTTGGGACAACCGGCACCTTGATGCCACGTTGCCTTTCAAAACGCAGGGGGCTGGGGGCTTTCTTAGTTTGATCTCTAACTGGGCTCAGTTTTCGCGGTAGTTGCAAACACTGGCGCTTTCGTTTCCAAGCATGCAAGAAGCATCGAACGCTGCCTTTGTGGTCCGTTTGGCACGTTCATTGCCCCAACGGATAATTGTTCAGTTGTTCCAGTCACACTTGACAAAGCACCGCTATGTACAGTGTCATTGACGACACGATCAAGAGTTAAACAACTTGCGATCATTTCTGCAATTTGCAATTTACGTATTGCCAATACACGCGCCCGAAGGGACACACACACACACACAGGAAACGTCCCCAAACACACATCAATCAAAGTCGAGCCAAAGTTAATGTCAAATTATCGGTGTCAGGCACCCCTCCACCACTTCGCCCGAAACAAGACTCACTGTAGCAGACCAACGATGTTTGGTCCACCCTTCGGTCTTTCGTGTGCACAAATGTGTTGAGGTTTGGCACAAGCATTCGGAGCACGTGCGGGTCTAAACATGCAACATGCAAAAACCTGGCAAACATTAGCAACGGAGTGTAGCTGCCAAAGTGTGAACTGTTCGTCCGTTACCGCTCCAGTTCCATCTTCCGGGTTGGCCAATTTCCCACGGACCCTTAAACAGTACTCAGTACCAGCTTGGTAGGTTCCCCAAGTCACACACCATGACTTCAGTGATGAACAAGCGAAGGGTCGACGATGGTCTGTTTCCCTTCCATGAAGCCTGGGCCGCGAGTCGAGTCTTCCATCAATCGTGTTTTTCGCTTCTTCTGGTAGAACAAGCTTCCTAGAATGTCATGTGGATATCGGTTCTTGACGTACTGAAGGCCCATTTCTTCAGCCATAGTACCTTTTCATGTGTTCTTTTCCATGTCAAGAGTCTGGGTAGGCTTTGGGAGGGTGGGCTCTTTTGGGAATGGGCAAAGATGAAGCCCACCTTCATTGGAGAACGTTTTAGTACCACTTCAATCGCAAAACCACAAGACAAGACGCGGCCGCGCCCCCAAACAGGACATGCAGGGTTCCGCGGAGGAGAAGGAGAAAGCCTTCAAGAAACTTCTTCGCGAATGGCATCCCGACAAAAATGCGGATCGAGTGCAAGTTTGTACAGCCGTCTTTCAGTTCCTTCAAAAGGCCAGACACCTCTTCAGAGGCCGCTGAAGGTTTTTGGTGCCAGGTCTGACTCGGTCTGACTGCTTGTGAAAAGTGATTTATTCCGTTGCTGGCAAAGTGGTTCTCTTTGAAGATCTGGTCTTGAAAGGATCACGGAGTTCCCTAACCCCTGAATCACCTGGTAGACCAGGGTGCTTGGAATCACTGTGCTCAGTGACTCATTCATGCCGGATGCTCGAAGTAGAGGAGATCTTGTCCAGGTCCAAGTGAGAATCACCAAAAAGGAACTTTCTGTTCGCTGACACAGTTGCCAGCAATGTGGACTAGAGAGGTGTGTTTCTGCATGGGTCGGCGGATCATCACTGCAAAGGTTTACTAAATGGACCATTGGAATCTGATGGAGCCCGAGGTCTTCTACCATTCAAAAGAGGGGTTCCGGACACACATCGATGGTTGGAATCCTGAAGATCCGTCTTGATGAACCTTTGCAGTGCCGGTCTGGAACTCCATGCTACTGAGCTCTTTCATGGCTGCAACAATAGCTTGCAACGGCTCAGTTGCAAGTGCGAAAGGAGCCACGCCCCAAACGGCTCCAGAAAAAGCTCCAGCGGTCGTCTCGAGGTTAGTTGCAGGGACGGTCTTGCGTTACGGTCAGTAACCCGGGTTAAGTCCCGGGTTATTATGGTCCCGGGTTACTATGGAATCACGATTCTACATATTCTACATTATGACCTCCCTGCTCCAAGAAGCTGGATTGATTGACCCCAAATAACTCGTGTGAAGCATCTCCGGCCCGACGGCCGGGAGTGGCACTTTTTCTTCGGTGTTTGTCGGAGTGTGGAGTGGCGGATCGCGGTTTATCGGCAGCTCCATCAAGCAGCTGCCGGGCGGTGTAGAAGCGGTGGACATCATTGTGTGGCACTGAGACGCGGGGAGGGATCAGAGAGTGGCATTGTGTGGCCATTGAGTCATAGATCGTCACAGTAGGGTTGATCTGGTGGTGGGTTTGAGGCCCTTCGTGCAGGGAAGGCCTTGTATGCAACACATGTCGGTTGGCCTCAGGTTTGTGTGTTCATGGGCTTCTTCCTCTTGTCAGGCCCTAAGAGAACTGGAGCCGCCCAAGTTTCCATTTCCAGTCCGAGATTCGGCCCCAAAACGAATCACCACGATGAAAGAGCAACTCCATGCCACCAGATGCCACTAGTCACTGGTACCAGTCACCCATGATTGAAGGTATGAGGCCCGGCTGGAAGAGCTGCTTGATGCAAGGGACAAGTGGCTCAAGGCAAGGCGGGTCGTGGACTCTAGCCGGGACGGCCGAAAAGAAACCGACGTCTGGGAGGAAAGTGGGGAAAGACCTCCAGTCTCCAAATATATCGTTAATTCCCCACATCACTATGTGGGGTTCTTGTTTTTCGCTCTGCACCCGCCGCTCCGCCGCCGCTCCTCCGCCGGGAGTCTGCCGTCCTCCGCCTCCTCCTCCTCCGCCGCCGCCTCCTCTTACACCACTCATCTTACACCACTCATCTTACTCCACTCATCTGACACCACTCATCTCACACCACTCATCACACACCACTCACCTCACACCAGTCACCACACATCACTCATCTGACATCACTCATCTTACACAACTCATCTTACACCACTCCGGTTGGGCCGCAGGCACAGCACTCTGTGAACCTGGAGTCAAGATTTCGTGGCAGGCACAGCACACAGAGCCTTCAAGAGGACGCCCGCGGCTGCCTGTCGTGCAGATTTTGCTGCAGGCACAACACTCCGTGAACCGGAGTGCAGCTTTCGTGGCAGGCGCAGTGCGCAGAGCCTGCAGGAGGACTGGGTGGACGTGTGGTCGCTGCTGGCTCGCGGATGCCTGTCGTGTAGATTTCGCCGCAGCACAGCACTCTGTGAACCTGGACCCTGTGAACCACTTCAGATCTCGTGGTAGGCGCAGTACACAGAGCCAAAGAACCGGGGGGCCGCGGGGTCGCCGCTGGGCCGCGGGGTCGCCGCTGGGCCGCGCGTGGCTTTCGTGTGGCAGGCGCAGTACCCAGCTGCGGCGTGCCTTCCGTGTGGCAGGCGCAGTACACAGAGCCTTCGGGAGGAGCTGCGGGACGCGTCACACACACCACTCATCTCACACCGCTCATCTTAGAGCAGTCTTCCTAAAAGACAGCGAGCGAAAAGTCTGGCTGAGTGTTTCAGGATGGGACAGGCGAAAAGCACCAAAGTTTCTGGGCAAACCGTAGAACAAACAATCCGTTCTCTTCTGTTTCTTGGAAAATTTGGAGGTTTGCGACCTTGGACGCTTGTGTGTTAACACCCTGGTGTTTTATGGAGCATGCATGACACAGTTTCAAGTGTTCCCTCTCCACCTAGAAACATACAATGTCATATCAAACCCGGTGAAGGGTCACAATGCTGACCAGACAGTACTTTGACGGCATGCGCGCCGATTCCTCAACTTAGAAACACCTTTTATTTGTACTTGAGCAACATCATGCACACCTCTTACCCAACTTAGCAACACCTTTTACTTGAATAGCACCGTCATGCACACCTTATTCCTCAACTTAGCAACAAAGAAGACCCCAAGAGCAACCAAGCAACTGCTAAACAACGGGTCTTACACCACTCATCTTACACAACTCATCACACACCACTCATCACACACCACTCACCACACACCACTCATCACACACCACTCATCTGACACAACTCATCACACACCACTCATCTCACACCACTCACCTCACACCACTCATCTCACACCACTAATCTCACACACACCACCTCTCACCACACACCACTCACCACACTCCACTCATCTTACACAACTCATCACACACCACTCATCTCACACCACTCATCTCACACCACTCA